GCTAGCCTGGGGAAATGGCAGTGGAAATGGGAAAGAGGAGAAGCCAGGCAACTGGAGGATTGTGGCACTGAAGTGGGTTGAGAGGGAAGTGTGGGCTCTGTTTTGGAGGCACTGCGGTCTAAGGCGGGCAGGGGCCCAGGGAAGGCCCCTGCTCTGTGATCTTGGTTGACATTCTGAGCTTTCGTTGACATTTGCTCTGTTTGAGGCCTTGTGCCAATCTTGGGCATGGGAAAGTAAGACATTGTTCTTGCTTTCAAAGAGCACACGGTGGGGAATCCTATTCTTGTACCTCACTTCCCTTCAGGCTTCTTAGACTCTTGCTATTACTCTTTGTAGCCTCAGACCTGGAGCCACAGAGGGAGGCTTGATTTTGGCCCTCTACTTTTTGCCTGGCTCCTTGCACTCACCCCTATTCCAGTGCCCACCTTGTCTTCAAATTGTCTTCTCTTGCCACTTGCCTCTCTACCTCTATTCTCCTCACCTGCTTCCCTCTCTTTCCCTTCAGTCATCACCATTTTCATCTGAATTTTTCTGCCCTGATGGTAGCCTTTCCTGGTAAGTACCATCATGTTACACCAGCATCTCCTCCTACTTCTTGTTTTTCATGCTTGAGCTGGAGTTCTGGGCTGAGCCTGAGGTCAAGCGATGACGCATGTCTCTCATCTGAAATGTTAGGGATGGACCAGATGCCACTGAGCTCTTTCTCCCTGGAAGCTTGGTGGTTCTACTTGACTTTTACAAGACATTAGAAGCTGTAGAATGATGGGTACCAAGTGTTAAAAAGGGTTATTTGGGGGTGGTTTGCTTTCTTTCTTGAACATTTACGTTGGCCTACTGAGGATGTATCATTTGGAACTATCAGAGGGAAGGGCTGAACATCTCTGCCCAGCAAGAGTGGCTGGCTGCTCTGAAGCCTGTTCGCTACCTCGTGTATCTTGGCAGAGCTGCTCCGACTGTTGTCTCTTTCACAGCCATGGTTTTGGTTTATCTTGCGCTCTACCCCTGAGGTCCCTCCCAGCTCTGAAATGCTCCCCTTCTGTTTTCCTTCACCACTCATTCTCCTTGTCTTGGATCACCAGTGCTGTGATCTGGTGAAATCTCAAAAAAGCTAGCAAGATAGCTGCATTAGAGGATTTTTAAATGCACGTCTGTTACTTTCAAGTACATCGAATGTCAGTGTGGGCTGACAAAGGTAAACCAAAGGCTATGACTGTAGGGCTGGTTAGCAAGTTGCTATTATTTTGGAAAAAGAGTTTAGTGAGTGTTCAATTAGAAGTGAAAAATGACTCGAGACACTTTCATGTGGGTGGTGCGGAGGTAGATAGGCAGCCCTTCCTGAAATGACTAAACGAGGAATCGTGGGCTTCAACCAGAACTTACATTTAAGAGTGTTTTGTGTGTGGTTGCTTTAAAAATAATACTTTATTGATTTCAGAGAAGTAGGGAGAGAGTTAGAAACATCAATGATGAGAAAGAACCATTGATTGGCTGCCTTTTGCACACCCACCACTGGGGATTGAGCCCGCAACCCAGGCATGTGCCCTTGGCTGGAATCAAACTGTGACACTTAACCACTGAGCCACGCCAGCAGGGCTAAGATTTTAAAAAATATATATATATTTTATTGATATTTTACAGAGAGGAGGAAGGGAGAAAGAGAGAGAGAGAGCTAGAAACATCGATGAGAGAGAAACATCGACCAGCTGCCTCTTGCACACCCCCTAGCAGGGATGTGCCCGCAACCAACGTACATGCCCTTGACCGGAATCGAACCTGGGACCTTTCAGTCCGCAGACCGACGCTCTACCACTGAGCCAAACCGGTTTCAGCCTAAGATGGTTTTTTAAATGGCATCTGTAACGTGGTCTTCAGTTGTTCCCAGCAAAAGCAAGTCTGATCTACTAGAAATGGAATGAAACTAATTATCCCTGGAAACGTGCTCTGAAGTTGCCATGCCTGTTCCAAACGTCATGTGAAGTGCCAGGCCCATTTTCTGTTTAAGTGTACAGGTTGATGCCTTTAATATATTCACCAGACATATGCAGTAATCACGCTCCATTTCTACCAGCCTTTGGCAACCACTACTTCACCTCCCGTGTTTGTAAGTCTTGCCTGGCCTTTGAAAGCCTCCCAAACCCCTGCCGTCCTCCCCGGGCCTGGATGGGTAGGGGCAACACCTCCCCAGTGCTCTGGCTCCAGTGTGGATCCTGGCCCTCCCCAGAGTGTACACGCCAACACCAGTCTGCTAAAGGTCCAAACAGAACACGGAACTGAACAGATTCACGTGAAATTAAAATCTCTGCTTAAAATAAGGACAGGCAGCTTGCTCTGTGAGGCGCTCACCATCCTAACTGGAACCCCCTCCCAGGTCCATTAGTTAGCCATGTTTCAGGTTTGCTTTGATGAGGAATGGACAAAGTCAAATTGTGTGGGCAGTGCTTCCTTAGCCTTCTCTGTCGCACAGAGATTACATGGGTTACCTTTTTGTGACAGGTGCATGTAGGATGGGAAGGGGCAGCTGGAAAGCAAGCTGAGGTATAAAGTGCTTAACTTGATTATTTTTTCTTGTACAACAGTGTATTTAGGACTGTGAGTGTCAAGCATTCAAATACAGCACTGATGGCACCTTCTGGGGTGATAGAAATGTTCTGTGCTGTCCAGTGCAGTAGCCACTAGCCACCTGTGGACATTGATGACTTAGAGACATGGCTAGTGTGACTGAGGGACTAAGTTTTTGTTTTATTTAATTTTAATTAATTAGTCTTTAAATCTAAATACACTCATGTGATTACTGGCTGTCAAATTGGACATGATAGCTGTGATAAATCAGCGACTTCTGGTACATAGTCATGTTACCTTAGGGCAGCGATTTTCAACTGGTGTGCCGCAGAATTTTTAAAACCTGCCCTAGCTGGTTTTTCTTAGTGGTTAGAGCATGAGCGTTGGCCCTGGGACTGAAGGGTCATGGGTTTGATCATGCTTAAGGTCCCGTATCTCGATTGCAGGCTTGATCCCCGGCCCTGATTGGGACTCGTGAGAGGCAACGAATCAATGTGTCTCTCTCATATCCATGTTTCTCTGCCTCCCCACTCCCTTCCATTCTCTCTAAAAATCAATGGGAAAAATATCCTCCAGTGAGGATTAACAAAAAAGAAAATAAAACATGCAGTTCCTATTTAGTGACGATAACCAACACAATAGGCATGCTGTATGAATGAATCAAAATTATATCTATTTGTTGTCAGATCAGCAAAAATATAGTTTTTAGTAATTAGTTTATGTGTGTCATGAGATGGAAAAGGTTGAAAATTGCTACCTAGGAAATCAGCCCATCGTCGCTAAACTGATACACCTTTCCATACAAAAGACTCAAACAGGTAATTTCAACATGTATGAAAATACATCCTTCTTTCTGAAAGCTGCCTGATGGGATTAACTGTCTTTGGGCACTCCCTATTTTGCCCTAACATTTATGGTATACATATTGAAAAGTGTGGCAGTGGAGAGTGACTCTGCTTCCCACTGTTCCCCAGGCAACCCCTGCACCAATCAATGTCTGGTGTTTTTTCCAAGGACAGTCTTTGAAAGCTTACATAGATCAGCAGGCTTTACATTTTTTCATTACTTTTATTTCTGTTGATTTTATTTGTGAGTGAAACTGGTTGCCTTTCATGCATCCCTTTGGGGTAAACCCTGCCTAGGGAGTGAGAGACACATGGCCCCAGTCTGCATATAGCTGCCCCCGGAGGGCCCACCGATCTACCAAGAAGTGAATCTCAATGGAAAAGCTCTTGATTATCTCATTTAAAAGAATGTCTTGACAATAATCTTCGTTTATTTGGCTCCTGCTTTTTAAAGCACTGTCATTTTTATGAGCTTATTTTTTCTCTCGTTCAGAGTTTTAACCGAATCTCCCGTTTGGTAGTCCTGCAGTTCTATAGAAAGAAAACACTGGTTATCACAGGGGTTCGCTGGGAGTCCTCCTCCCTGAGAGGAAGGAACTAGAAGGGTGGGAGCATTTGGTTAGGCCATAAACGTTTTTATCTGTGACCTTTAACTCTTGTTTATTGTCTCCATTGCCCTCGAGGACAGAGTTCTTGGCTTACTGCACAGCATGGAAGCCCTGTGTTGTACTGATGGCATTTTCCCCTTCAGCATGTTTTTTAAGGTCTCTTCTTGAGATTAGTAACTGATGCTTTAAAAGCATTTGTGAATTTGTAGTCACTCTCTGAACACCAGATTTTGCTGGTGATAATTGACAAGAAGAAGGAGTTTTAAGATTCCTTTTTGGTGGTCAGATTATCTTTTTTTTTTTTTTTTTTAAATTTTCTTTATTGATTATGGTATCACATAATTGTCCTCATCCCCCATTGCCATTTCAAATCCCTCCCCACATATACTCCCACCCCCTTGCAGTTCGTGACCACTGGTTAAGCTTATATGCATGCATATAAGTCCTTTGGTTGATCTCTCTCCCTTTCCTACACCCTCCCCTAAATTCGTGGTCAAATTATCTTTAATTGAAATATTTTCTTTTGTAGTTCTTAACTAGCTGGGCATTCTACTGCACCATTATTGATATCATCTACAATGTAATGAAGGTGGTGGCCATCAACACTGGGCAGTTCCCAAGGTCTCTTTAATGGTTCATTTGAAAAAGACGCTATGAAATATGTTTGATGTCAGTTCCCAGAGGGAAAAGAATTGTATACCTCCATTGTGGACATATCATTGTGCTCTTTAAATGATCCCACCTAAATGCTCTTTCTCCTTTTTTTTTTCCTCACTAAAAACATAGGAAAGAGTCACAGGTCAGGTCAGGATGATGTCTTTCCTGAACGCCCCGTTAGGCACACAGTGGGTCCCAGGTGCTGTGCCGTTCTGTAGCCTGTGACTGAGGAACGTGCAGTAGGACCGCAAGTGGATCCTCAGGCAGTGGGGCCTTCCCAATCCTCTCCAGCTCTTTGGAACAGATCACTGTATAGTTCTTTCTCTCAAAGGAGCTGATGGTGGTGGATCATCATCTGGAAATGGGCCTGGGGTTACCCCTGCTGCCCCTGCAGGGGCCTCTCGCTCCACCTCCCGGAATTTAGGATCTTCTGGCGGTGAGAAGGAAGAAGGCAAAAAAGTCCGGCGACAGTGGGAGTCCTGGAGTACTGAGGACAAGAACACCTTCTTTGAGGGGCTGTATGAGGTGAGTTATGGGACCAGGAAAGGCCAAACTCTAGCTTCTTATCACTTGTACTTCTCTTTCAGTTTCCCTTTGCCTTTTTTTTTTTTTTTTTTTTTTTTCCCCTACATGGCTACTAGATGTACTAGGTTAGCAGTTTCAATGGGGAGCCCGGGCTGACAGGTGTGAGTCGCCAGGGCTGAGGCCTCACCCCCTGACCATGGCCTTTTATCGCTTCATTGTGACTTTAAAAGCTGTTCTAGAGAGGTGGCTATTTGGAAGTTTCTTTATGTTTCTCTCCTTTTCTCAGATTCTAACCAATGTCTCAGACATATTCTTTTTTTTTTTTTTTTTAATATATATTTTATTGATTTTTTTACAGAGAGGAAGAGAGAGGGATAGAGAGTTAGAAACATCGATGAGAGAGAGTCAGACATATTCTTAACTGCAGAGTGGTAGCTTTCTCTGTGGGCCTTCCCCTTGTAGTTGAGTGGGCCAATCAGGAGGGGTGTTCTCTGAGGGAGAAGGGCAAGAGGACACCTGCCACACCAGTCAACGCAGCCGGTTCAGTCCTAAAAGCTGACCTGGGACAGGCTGTAAAGTCCTAAAGATGGAGAAAAGCTGCTTCCGGATCCCATAGCTCAGTGGTTGGCAAACAGTGGCTCGAGAGCCACATGCAGCTCTTTGGCCCCTTGAGTTTTTAGCAAAGGCCAGCTTAGGAGTACCCTAATTAAGTTAGTAACCTACCTATATAGTTTAAGTTTTAAAAATTTGACTCTCAAAAGAAATTTCAATCGTTGTACTGTTGATATTTGGTTCTGTTGACTAATGTGTTTGCCGACCACTGCCATAGCTCAAAGAAAATGGCCATCCCTGCCGGCCATTTTACTTTATTTATTTTGTTTTCAAATCTTTGTAATGATAGTAAACATGCTTTTTTATTGTCAAATGCATTAATATGATGTTTCATAGTTCTTTTTTGTTCAGTACTTTTTTTCATGACTATAAAAATTCTACTCTCAAGTGTAGGTAAATTCATAGTCTATGTGTTTTCTGTCTGCTTTTGTAACACAGCATTGCCTATTTATTTATATATTGTCTCTGGCAAATATTGACTGCAGTGATAGAGCAATTACGACAGATACTGTGAGTGGCCCCCAACATTTGAGCATTAACCTTCTGGCCAAACCTTGCTCCACTTAACCATTGTGTTGTTCCTGTTCCTTCCAGATTATAAATAACAGTACAGTAAGTATCTTTGTGTGCATACCATATTTTAGGATACCTCTTTGGGCTATAGCAATGGTCGGCAAACTGCAGCTCACGAGCCACATGCGGCTCTTTGGCCCCTTGAGTTTTTAGCAAAGGCCAGCTTAGGAGTATCCTAATTAAGTTAATAACAATGTACATACCTATATAGTTTAAGTTTTTTTTTTTTAATATATTTTATTGATTTTACACATAGAGGAATTAAGGGGGACAGAGAGTTAGAAACGTCGATGAGAGAGAAACACTGACCAGCTGCCTCTTGCACACCCCCCACTGGGGATGTGCCCGCAACCAAGGTACATGCCCTTGACCGGAATCGAACCTGGGACCTTTCAGTCCGCAGGCTGATGCTCTATCCATTGAGCCAAACCGGTCCCGGCTATATAGTTTAAGTTTTAAAAAATTTGGCTCTCAAAAGAAATTTCAATCTTTGTACTGTTGATATTTGGTTCTGTTGACTAAAGAGTTTGCCGACCACTGGGCTGCAGAATCTAAAGTAAGTTGGTTCAGTCAGTGAGCCTCATTCTTTTTTTTTTCTTTATTAATTTGAGAATGATTTGTTGTTCCACTTATTTATGCATTCATTGGTTGATTATTGTATGTGCCCTGACTGGGTTTTGAATCCACAACTTTGATATTCAGGATAATGCTCCAACCAATTGAGCTACCTGCCAGGATGAGCCTTATCCTATCTAATAATCCTATCTAAGAAAAGGGAAATATGCAAATTAACCATCACTCCATCACAAAGATGGTGGCGCCCAGTCCCCTCAGCCTCACTGGAGTCCCCCAGTCCTGGGGTGGGCTGCTGCTGAGAGCGGACAGTGTGAATGGCCTGGCAGAATGCTTCATCGCCATGCCAGTGGAGGGCCTCTGGGCAGCGGGCGCAGAGTGGCTGGGGCTGGACACTTGCTTCGTCATAGAGGGCCTTTGGGAGAAGCAGGGGGGAGGTTCGCAGCTTCTGCTGCCTAGCACAGGCCTGGAGAGGAGATGGCGGCCCGTCTCCCTTGGAAGCAGCGCGGCTCCCAGCAGTGTGCTGCAATTCCTGGCCTACTGTGTGCAATATCATGCGATGGGCTACTAGTTCTTTTAATAGTGAAGGAATTGGAGTGACAGAAAAGTGTGGCCACACCTGTGAGACAGTTTTATAAAGGAAGCAGGCTTTGAAATTCAAACCATGAAGTGCTCATAGAGACACCAGAAAAGGAGACTCCCAAGCGGAGGCAGAGAGCTAGAACCGGGTGCCAATTTCTGACCATTCCTGGGGCCGATGGAGCAGTTTGCCAGTCCCGGATCGAGGATGCCCATGTGTTGCTGTCATTTGACTCAGTTGTCCAAGAAGAGAAGGAAGTGTACACATAGACTTGTTCTAGTAGGTGCAGAGTCATTCAAATAAATTCAAATGCATTCTGTTTTTTCCCTTTGGCAGTTTTAGAGTAAAGTACAGAGGCTGTTTTTATGTATATTATGTCCCTAAATTGCCTACTGTAAGCTTTCTGTTAGGCATAGAAGACTTGTGGTTCCTGGAATGTTCCTAGAATAGCATCCTTTGCTGATGCCAAGTTGAGACAGTTACTGCTTCAATGGGGCCCTTTTCTCTTGGGCTCTACAGGGCGATTGGCAATAGTTGTCAATTAAAAATAGGAGGGGAAGAATTCCCAATGACCTGGCTTTATCTTTTTTTCAGGTGTATTAGTTCATTCCCTTTTCATCGGGCTAGCCTTCTTGTTTTAATTTTTCTACCGGGTAGCTATTTCTTTTGAGGTCACCTGAATCCCTTGATTAGTAATAATTGGCTATTCTGATCACTTAATGCTTTCCACCATTGGTACTATTTATGCCAAATAGTGTGAGAGTGTGTGTGTTATTGTTTCTATGTGTATTGGTATGGGTGAGAGAGACAGAAAGAGAAAGAATATGAGTGCCGGCTTTATGTGAGTCATTTTGTGGGTTTGACCAAAACTCAGGACTCTGTTGGGGTCTCGATGTATGCTGATTAGCTGGGGCATATATGACCATGAACATCTTGAACTACGAGGTATGGAGGTAAAGGCTTCTGCTCTGCAAGTGTCACTTCTGCAGTGTTTGTCCAGGTTGTCATTGCCTTTTTTATACGTACAAGTCTGACAGAGACCTAGCTCAGCGCAACAGCAGGAAACAAGGTGATTGATTGAGTGACTTTCATGACTGGGAGGGACAAGGAGGGGCTGACTCAAGCTGGCAATGTCATCTGTCCTCTGACATCTTCTTGCATTGGGGGTGACATTTCTGTGCTTATTCTCATTTGAGATATTCCCCAGAGGCAAGACATCCACCCCCATCCCTATTCCAGTTAAGACTGTTCTGAGGAGGGTCCAGGTTGGGTGAGCCTATGCTAAACTCCTCCCTGTAGCCAGGGTCATGGTCATGGTCTCCATGACAGAGGAGGTGAAAAAATCCTAGACCCACATCATCGTCCTTGACATCCTCTTACTCCATTTCAGTGGCAGTTCTTCACAGAGCCTATTGTCAGCTTTCCATTTTCCCATCTTATGTCTGTCTGACTGTATTTGCTTCTGTGGTCCAATTCTTACTCATAAGGCCAGTATCCTGTACTTCTTGTTCACCAGGTTGATAATTGCTGAAAGCCTCATTTAAGTGTATACACTATAGTCATGCTAGAAATGCTTGGAGAGGCCGAGCTGTCTTGAGCCTCTTATTGATAGGTATGGGGCATGCTGACGTCAGCTGCTGCTTATTTGAGAGATTTTAGGAAAGTATGAAGACTGAGCCAGGACAGGCCATTCATATGGAAAAGCTGCTGCAAACAGCTTGGATTGGGCTGCAAATTGGATGGGACAGTGAATCCCCAGGGCAGATCAAACAGTGTAAGCCAGGCTGATGGAAACTTAGGTATGACTATCAGTCAGCTCTGTGATGGAGGTCTCAGCATAGGAACACTGACTCCTGCAAGCATCTCTGTTTAGGAGAAAGCCACCCCCAAGTTCTTGCTCTGGTGCCAGACAATCCATTTCCTCTCCATATGTCCCTGGATCACTGCGAGTCATTGCCCTGGTGCTGAAGCTCAGAGGGAGCAAGTCCATGTAAGTTCATGTGCCAGCCCTTTAAAAGGGTCTCCAGCTGCTTCCGCTGCACTCGGCCATAATCCCTGCTAGTTTTTACAGCTTGAAGTTATGGGGACTTCTGTTCCCAGCTCTGGAATCGTAAGCTGGGGGTCTGGTGTGGGGCTAGGACCCCTTGCTTCTCATGGGAGACCTCCTCATAGGAGGCCTCTGCAGCCAAGGTGTCCCTCCTGATTGAAAAAAAATGCCACACGTGGCTGTCAGATCAACCCGTTTCATGCCTCTGCCCCTCCTACCAGTCTCCGTGTGCTTTCTTCTTTACTTCTCTAATTGTAGGACTTCTATTAAGCCAGCTTTCAGGAGGTTCTGAATGATGGTGGTTCCATATTTTTGTTGTATTTTGATGTGGTTGTGGGAGGTGGTGAGTACTGTCATTTACCTACACCTCCATCTTGGTTCTCTCTTAACTTTTCATTTTGAAACCATTTTAGCCTTGGAAAACATTGCAAAGAAAGTACAAAGAACTTCTTGTGCCCTTCACTCTGCTTCCCCAATGTTCACATAACTGCAGTATGACCTGCAGATGAGGACAATACCTTTACTGATCTGAAAGCCTTACTCAGATTGAGCTGGTATTCCCACAGACACCCTTTTTGGATCAGGACTTAGTTGTCGGACCAACCCTTTTAGTTGTCGTGACTGCTAAGTCCTGGAACAGGTCCTCTATTTCCTTCCCCCCCACTCTTTCATGACCCTGACAGTTTTGAAGACTCCTAGACTGTTAGTTTGTGGAACAGCCCTCAGTGTGGGCTTACTAAGGCTTGCCTCCTCATGATTCAATTTTCTTTTTAAGGATAAAGTAAGGTTTCATTTATAGTCTTCTAGTAAAGGGATCTGATTTGATTTTTCATTTTGCATTTTTGTTAGGAGCATCGCAGGAGTTGTGCTGCCATTGGAGCATCCTATCTAGAGTGCAGGGTGCAATCTACCTGGTGGTGTGAATGTGCGTCTCCTGGGTTCCCCAACACCAAGTCATTTTTTACTCTGATAACGAGTCAATACCGTTTCTCATTGTTCTTCCACTACTTTTAGCCACCATAGCAGCTTCTTCCCTGAAATAACCGTTACAGTGATGTTTGCCCAGTGATGATCTTCTGACTCCATTATTTCTACGTTTATTTTATTTTATCTATTTATTTTTAATAAATATTTTATTGATTTTTTTTTTTTTTTTTTTTTTTTTTTACAGAGAGAAAGGGAGAGAGATAGAGAGCTAGAAAAATCGATGAGAGAGAAACATCAACCACCTGCCTCTTGCACACCACCTACCGGGGATGTGCCCGCAACTAATGTACATGCCCTTGACCGGAATCAAATCTGGGACCTTTCAGTCCGTAGACTGATGCTCTACCACTGAGCCAAACTGGTTTCGGCAATTTCTACATTTATTAATTGGAAACCCAGTGCAAGAAAAAGTGCGCTCTTCTTCGATTATGTGTTTATTTGGCTTTTTATAGTATTTGTGTAGATTTAGGTATATTTAGGCTATTCTATAGGCTATTCTAAAGAACTGCGGCTCGAGAGCCTCATGCAGCTCTTTGGTCCCTTGAGTGTGGCTCTTCCACAAAATACCACGGCCTGGATGAGTCTATTTTGAAGAAGTGGTGTTAGAAGGAGTTAGTTTAAAAATTTTGGCTCTCAAAAGAAATTTCAATTGTAGTACTGTTGATATTTGGCTCTGTTGACTAATGAGTTTGCCGATCACAGCTATAGGTCATAACCCATTCTTATTATTGTTATGTGTTCCCTTTTATTTTTCATTTACAGTTGACATTCATTATAATTGTTGATTTTGTTGCTCAAATTGTTCTAGATTTGGCCATTGGTAATCTCTTCAGGTTGGCTTCTGTGTGCTTTCAACACGTTTTTATTATACTTTGAACATGTCTGGCACCACAAGATATTCCAGATTCACCTGGTACTTTCCTTGTCCCAGATCTGGGAGCATCCATTTCTCCAGTGAGCCCTGGTTCCCTTTGGAAAGTGGGATTTAGAAGCTAAGAATGTTTGTTGATGCTGGGGTGCAATTACCTCTGGGCCTTTCATAGTACTTTTTACTGGCATGGTTCTGATGAGAGTATCAACAATAGGTTCCCATGACAATACCTGAAACAACAAAGATGGTGACTGTGTTCCCTAGGACATAAATCTTATATAATAAAAGAATAATATGCAAATTGACCGTCACGCCAACACACAAGAGGGCTGCCCCCATGTTGACACAAGATGGCAACCACAAGATGACCAGCAGGGGAGGGCAGTTGGGAGGGACCAGGCCTGCAAGGGAGGGCAGTTGGGGCCCATCAAGCCTGCAGGGGAGGGCAGTTGGGGTGACCAGGTTGGCAGAGGAGAGCAGTTAGGATGACCAGGCCTGTAGGGGAGGGCAGTTAGGCATCAATCAGGTTGGCAGGGGAGTGGTTAGGGGGTGGTGATCCGACTTGAAGGCAGAAGCAGGGGCAATCAGGAAGGCAGGCAGGAAGGCGAGCAGTTGAGAGCCAGCAGTCCTGGATTGTGAGGGGGTCCCAGATTGGAGAGGGTGCAGGCTGGGCTGAGGGACATCTCCCCTTCCCTGTGCACAAAATCTGTGCACCAGGCCTCTAGATCTTTTCTGAAAAATCTAAGATGTATTTGGCTTTTGCATGGAGGTGTTGAAGAACGGGACAATCCATAGATGTATTCCGAGCATAGTCTGTGTGCTTCTCTTGTTAAATGTTCAAATTTGCTATCCCTATTCAAATGTAGAATATACTTTATGTAATGAAAATGCTGAGGGTGCTTCTGAGTGGTCAATGTCTTGTATTTTAAGATACCAGATACACAACCTCTGAACACCCCCGTCATGTTCTGTTCTGATGATTGTTTCACAGAGCTGTCTCATTCAAGGTCTTCAAAGAACTGTAGAAATTGGGCCATTTGCCTGAGTAATAAGCTTTATGTTTTTCCTGCTCTACGAGTCTTGCCTCTTTGATATTCACTGCTTTGAGAGTTCTCGCCCCGTGTTTCCATTGCTGCTCTAGCCGTTATTATGATGAAAATCTGAGTTCAGGGGGAGCAAGGCTGAAGCTGATGCACAAATAAGAGCTGTGAAGAACTTGAGTGGGCACAGTGGCCCCCTTTTCTGGAAGTGTCTGTGTCGTACAGAAGGCTGCCTTGTTTTAACCTCTGTGCTTTTCCCTTGGGCTTATTTTCCAGCATGGAAAAGACTTTGAAGCCATCCAGAACAACATAGCTCTCAAGTATAAGAAGAAGGGCAAGCCCGCCAGCATGGTGAAGAACAAAGAGCAAGTGAGGCACTTCTATTACCGCACGTGGCACAAGATCACCAAGTACATCGACTTCGACAATGGTGAGCGTTTGAGGCTCGGTGTCTGGGGAAGCTGCGGGGCAGGGCTGGGATCTGGTCAGGAGCAGTTTTTGAAAAATCACAGGACACTTTCTGGTGTCATTCTTGCCCAGCCATGTGGCCTGGGATGTTTTTGTTTTTTTAAAATATTTATATTGATATAATGTTAAATATAAATTTTTTTTTTTTTGCTCTTTTTAAAAAATATATATTTTTATTGATTTTTTTACAGAGAGGAGGAGAGAGGGATAGAGAGCTAGAAACGTTGATGAGAGAGAAACATTGACCAGCTGCCTCCTGCATACCTCCTACCGGGGATGTGCCCGCAACCAATGTACATGCCCTTGACCGGAATCGAACTTGGGACCTTTCAGTCCGCAGACCGACGCTCTACCACTGAGCCAAACCGGTTTCGGCTAAGTATTAATATTTTTAAATATACTTTCACATATATTTAACATTAAGAAAAATAAAACTAATTCAAGCGGTGCCGGGCAAAAAAGGGAAAATTTAAAGTGTGACGTCTGTCTGCTGTTCTAGTCCCAACTTAAGTATCATAGTCAACTTATTTTATTTTGGAAGGGAAGATGTAAAAGTTTTTTTCAATCATTCAGAAGGCGAGGATAGCCACTTATAAAAATAGAATGGCGGGGACAAACTAGGAAATGCAAGTCAGAGGTGAAAGGGTAGAGCCAGAAAGAAATTTTCAAAATAAAATTAACAAGGAGCCTGATCCAGAAGAGGGCTATGAAGAGGACATGGTGGATCAGTCTGTTGGTCGGATAATGATTCAACTTCTAACACGGTAAGCGCCAAGCCTGTTGTGGGTTCCTTTCCGGTTAGCCCGCGATACCCGATTTCACCGATATGCTGGTGGCTGGAGACGGAAAGTATAGTGTCAGTCACTAGTGATTGATGTGGCACTTAACGTGTTAAATTATCCTCTTGTTCTTTTTTGTTGGGTTTCTTCTGTGTTCAAATCTAAGACTTAGAGATGCTGACCCATTGTTAACAAGGGCCGACAGGAAATAGAGGATCCTTTCCTTCCCCCAGCCTGCCTCCGCTGACGCCGCCACCATTGCCTCCTTGGCTGGATGCTGGACGAGTCCTCCATGGATGTGGACTCAGGGCGACAGGGCAGCCTCCTTCTGTGGTTGCTGGGCTTGTGAGTGCTGCAGTGTCTTTTGGCTTTCCACATCTCTGAAACTATTCTGTGTACATGGCTCAGGGCACTGTCCTCTTTGCTTTAAGGTTTTCCACTTGATATGAGGATGTAATAACAGTTCCCATGACTGAGATGTTTTTTCTTGCCATTTAGCGTTGTTAATGCTCTTGTGAATGGTCTGGAAGAGCAGATGGCCCTCTAGAGAGACACCAGCGCTGACTGCATAGGCCTGGCTCAGTTTTTCCTCCTCTGTGCTTTGCCGGCAAGTTTACTGACATTGAATGACGCTAGGGGAGGAGGAGTTTCTGTTTGGTCATCAGTTTCCACTTTTGAAACATAAGTTTATGAACAGGATGCCTACATGGTTGGGCTTTCCCCTGGAAGAGGGACATTTTAAAGCCAGCATTTTGGATTGGTAGTTGAAGGATATTGCCCTGCCCTGAAGCCGCTGCTCCTGGCATGTTTGGCAGGACACCTGGCCCCTAATGCCGAAGTATTTGCCCAGAGGAGCCACCATCTTGTGAGAGCAGCTGTGGCTGGCTACAGCTGCAGCCGGCGAAAGCCAGGCGTCCAGTGAGCACTGCCATGCCTGCCAGGCCAGTTTCACCTTCTTTAATCTTACTCTTCATTTCTGCAGTTTTGGCCATAGATCATTCATTCCAGATATTTGCTTTTACTGACTTCACTTATTTCTGATGCTTCTCTTCAAATAATACCACTTTTGATCCAGAATATGAACCCTTGCTGGTGTGTTCAGTGGTTAGAATGTGGGCCCTGTGCACTGAAGGATCTCGGGTTCAATTCCTGGTCAAGGATCTCGGGTTCAATACCTGGGTTGCAAGTTGATCCCTGGCCCCTGTTGGGACGACGCATGCAGAAGGCAACCAGTTGATGCGTTTCTCTCACATCAGTGTTTTTCTCTCTCTCCCCTCCCACCTTTCTTCCCTTCCACTCTCTAAAACTCAGTGGAAAAAATATCCTTGGGTAAGAATTAACAACAACAAAAAACTGTGATGGCTGAGTTAGATCACTTCCCCTTTGAACCTGTGCTGTGAGTCCTTTGTGGCAGCCTTCTCTCCCTCTCTGCCCTGCCCTCTGGTGTTCTGGCCTGGTCAGTGTGTGCTGGCCAACTAGAATAATCAGGACTGCCCCATCAGGATGCTAGGACCAGGACTGCCTCCTCCAGCTTTAGAAAGACCTAAAGAGCTTGAATCAAGCTGTCTTCTTTTTTTGTAAAGGGTCATATGATAAATATTTTTGGCTTTGGGGGATTTGCAGTCTTTATCAAAATGACTTCACTCTCTTGTCTTAGCTCATTGTAGATACAATGTAAAGGAATGCATGTTACTGTGTTTCAGCAAAACTTTTATTTACAGAGAGAGGCCCTGGGCAGGATTTGGCCCGTGAGCCTTTGTTTGCTGACCCTGCCCTGGAGAAATTTGTTTGGGGGCCCAAGCCCCAGGCAGTCACAGCAGTTAGCTGATACTTTCTCTGAGTAGATTTCCCCTTGAATCTTCATGGATATTTCTTACCCACCAGTCATCGTTTCTCTGGGTCTGTTTCAGAGCTTTTCAGACCAGTCCCCCTAGGTCAGTAGTTCTCAACCTTTCTAATGCCTTCGACCTTTTAATACAGTTCCCCATGTTGTGGTGTCCCCCGACTTCATAACTGTAGCAACAAAAGTAATTTTAATAATAATTTTTGCTACTGTTAATGAATCGTAATGTAAATGTCTGTTTTCCGATGGTCTTAGGGTCTTCAGTAGCGGTTCTCATCAGAAAACACAGATATTTACATTACGATTCATTAACAGTAGCAAAATTGCACTTATAAAGTAGCAATGAAAATAATTTTATGGTTGGGGGTCACCACAACATGAGGAACTGTATTAAAAGGTCTCGGCATTAGAAAGGTTGAGAACCACTGCCCTTGGTCCTTTTCTAGATCATTGGTGTTCTCCCTCTTTCTGGTCTTGTTCTTCTCTAACCCACCCTCCACACAAGACCCATGTCTGCCTATTCCCCTGCCTGAGCCTCCCCCTGCCCTGTCCCATACCCTCATCCTACCTGCCTTGGCTCCTAGGATGGGCTTGCCACCCTCCTGCTAACCTGCACTTCTTTTGTGCCTTGTCTCCTGCCACCCCTACTCTGTTGTCCTCCCTAACCCATTCACCTTCCAAGACTGAGCTCCTATGTCAGTGCTCCCAAAATCCTCCCGTGAATTCCCTTCTGCCCTCACTGCCACCTCATCATCCCCTCATGGGCCTACTCTGTGCCCATCATTGAGCACATTTCGTACTTCTTCCTGGAAGTTCTATCGCCCTCACTGCAGATGAGAAAACCCTGGCTTAGCGTTGGAGGCCCTGGCCCAAGCCACCCAGACAATAAGCTGAGGAGCTGTGCTCCATCGGCCAGCATCTCACCGTTATCTTCTGTAAATGTAATGTTTTCAGACCACCTATTCATGCTGCCATAGACTTTTCCCATGTTTTTCATGAAATGTTAATTCTTTGAGTTGACGTTTTTAAATGAAAACCTTTCCTTTTGGACTTAAAATCCACTTCTAGTGTTTTTATTTTTATTTTTTTTAACGAATTCATCTTTTTAAAAACAATTGATAAAGGTGGGGAGGAGCACCTGGCAATCAAGTGCGTTCTGCGCACAGCAAGTTCCATCTTCACAGCAATACCCCGTATAAAGTGCCTTTTTTCTGCTGAGCTAGTTTTTGGCTCCAGCAGGTTCTGTCTGGCCAGGAATGCTCTTGTTTTTCACTCGTCATTTTAAGGTATCTTTCCGGCTCCAAAGCCTTCCACCAGCCACCTCGTGCGGTCCTCGTCCCAGTCCTTGCAGAGGATTCGTCTCAGCGTTTGCTGTATGTGGCCAAGGACACATACACCATCCCAACTCCCGTTCCTCTAGTTGCAGGGGCCTCCTGCCCAGCCTGTTATCTTTACAGGGGATGTACAACACAAACAAGCATTGTATTGAAGACCGTTAAACAGCATATCTGTTTATGTGAGATTGCCACGTTCTGCAGACCACGGAAATGGGTGTCCACCTTTGGGGGCAGTTCCTAGGTTTGACTCGGCAGGCCCTTCACTAATACTGTTTTATTGGTTTGCTTTCAGTGTCCATAAAACTGTTAACAGGATTTTCTGCTGGCTTTGGTGTATTGTGGCAAGTTAGCAGCGTTTTGTTCTTCCTCAGGTTGGCAACACAGTGTCTGTGTGCTGCTGTGCTCAGTCATAGCTGTCACTGTTTCTCAGATTACTAGCTTGTTTGAAATATCAACACTGGTCGGGATCCTACTGAGCCCAGTGCTGCTACTAATATCTGTGGTCTTCACAGGCAACCTCCCTCCCTTTCTGGTGTCACTCGGGAATAAGTTTTAGCTGTTTGGCTCTTTCCATGTTGTCTTTTACATCGTTCTTTTTTTGTTACATATCATATTCTTGGGTGACTTTCTGAAAGTCAGTCTGTGAGTGCAGGCCCTTCATCCCCTTTGGCTCTTCTGGAAAAACTCTTCCAATGAGAAAAGCGTTGTGTGAGGATTGGGAAACTGCTGGGGTAAAGTGTGGAGGCAGCGGGGGAGAAGATTCCAGGAGCTGTGAACTAGCATGTTCTGTCCTTTCAGGGAGACCATGCTATGGCAGAGCGGGCAGTGCTGCAGGGGACGCTCAGATTCCCAGTGTAGATGTCGGTGCTGAAGAGCTCGGGGATGAAGAGAGGAGGAGTCTGCTGCCCTCGGGTTCTATTCCTGTACTGTTCCTTGGTTCCATGGCAAGCTCTGCAGGATAGACCCAACATGTGTCCTTCCTTCCTGTGGCCTGTGTTTCCTTTTCTCCCTCCTCTCTCTCTCCCACCTTCTTTGCATCTTTTTGCTGCTGTTGTCCTGATATGCCCTCATAAGCAGTGCCTGCCTGCTTTCTGTTGAACTGATGGCTCTGCTGAGGTTCTCTATCTGGTCCTGATAATGTCTCTAATGTGGTGACAGCCAGTTGGCCACATTAAGCCCCGGGCCCACCTGCCTCTTCGTGCTGCCTGGCATCTGCATCGGGGCTTGGCACTATCTGCCATTTCTCAGCCCCTTGCCCAGCCCCTGACAACCATAGTCTGCTTTCTATCTCTGGACTTCCCTGTGCTAGACATTTCATGTAAAAGGAATCCTGTGGCCTTTTGTGTCTGGCTTCTTTTGCTTAGGATGATGTTTTCCAGGTTCATTCAGGTTGTAGCATGTGTCAGAACTTCATTCTTTCTTATGGCTGACTAATATTCCATTGTCAGGAAAGAATATATTTGTTTCTTCATTGAAGAGTGAATCTTTTTTTTAAATATATTTTTATTGAATTTTCACAGAGAGGAAGAGAGAGGGATAGAAAGTTAGAAACATTGATGAGAGAGAAACATCGATCAGCTGCCTCCTGCGCATCCCCTATTGGGAATGTGCCCGCAACTAAGGTACATGCCCTTGACCAGAATCGAACCTGGGACCTTTCAGTCCGCAGACTGACGCTCTATCCACTGAGCCAAACCGGTTTTGGCATGAATAGTGAATCTTAAAGTGTCCTGAATTTTGGTCCCCTGTGAGATCTGTGAATCTTTCAGAACATTCTGGAACACTTAGTGTGTGAAGTTGGCCGAGTCCTAGGCTCTTTAGAGCCTGTCAAAGGTCCAGAATCCTTGTTTTAGATTATTTATTGCAAGACTTATTCTTCATTTGCTAATTTTTTTTCTTTTCCTTTCTGTGATTATAATCACACATAGCTGAATGTTAGAACTTTGAAAGGGGTCTCTGAGGAGAAACAATATGAGGGTGAAGGACAAATGACATGGTTCGCTGCTCTGAGATGATCTAAAAGGTACACAGATTGCACTGTAGCTGGACTTCCAAATCACAATTAGATTTGGTTTCATAGAATACAAAACTCAAAATAACAGTGTCTCAAGCATGTCAAATTTCATTTTCTCATGTCCGAGATTCCTGCAGTGGGTGGTCCAGGGCAGGCACCAAGGACCCAAGGCCTCCTGTTTTTCTGCTCTGCCATCCCTAGCACTTTGCTGTGACTAAGATAGCCCCCGAAAGCAGTTCTGAAGGAAAAATAAGCGTAATTCTGCCCGAATCGCCTTCTTAAAGGAACCTTTCAGAAGTCTCCCACAACACTTCTGCTCAATCCAAAGGCTGGGGCTTAGTAGTGTGGCCATGCCTTTACCCATCTATGTTGCTTCCTAAATACAAGTGGGCCTCTTATTAGGGAACAGTGGAGAGTGGGTGCTAGCAGTCTTGAACAGTAGAGCTATGGTTCTAGCCCCAGGCCCGGGTCATGTAGATCAGTGGTCAGAGGAGACATGACAGGTCAGCTTCCACAGTTCCTGGTCTGCCCGCCTCACACCGGGCTCAGGCTAATTCTGCAGATGTGGAGAGAAGAGGATGACAAGTTTGGTGCTGGTCGTGTCCCAGCTCCTCTGCCTCCTTGGGAACCGGCTGTGTTGAACTTCCCATTTTCTCCTCCCAGGGGACTAATCTGCTTGTTAGGACTAATTTTCTGCCCCCCCTCCCCCTTCTTCTTTTGGTTTTAACTTTTTTTTTTTTTTTAATATATTTTATTGATTTTGTACAGAGAGGAAGTGAGAGAGATAGAAAGTTAGAAACATCGATGAGAGAGAGTCATCGATCAGCTGCTTCTTGCACACCCCCTACTGGGGATATGCCCGCAACTAAGGTACATGCCCTTGACCGGAATCGAACCCGGGTCCCTTCATTCCCCAAGCCGATGCTCTTTGAGCCAAACCGGTCTCGGCAGTTTTAACTTTTTATTTTGAAAATTACAAAAACAGTACTGTGCTCCCATACACTCTTTGTCCTTCTCCCCTGATGTTGATATTCTGTAGTTCCAAGGTGCAGTGAGCAAACCGAGGAATCAGCAGTGTGGAATGTCCCCCTCGCATTGTTTTTGTGCACAGGATCTGGCCAACTCCGGAACAGCTGTGTCTTCCCCTCTTCTAAAACTTGTCATTCCTGTCTTTCATTTCAGTGTTCTCTCGAGGGCTGAAGAAGTCGTCTCAGGAGCTGTATGGTCTGATCTGCTATGGCGAACTGCGCAAGAAGATTGGGGGCTGTGAGTACGAGCTGCCAGAAGGCCCTCCCGGCTCCTGGCAGGGCCTGCTGTCCTGGCACTATTGGGTCTTGGTCCCAGTGGCCCTTCTGTTTCCCCTCCAGCTTTTGTCTTAAACGTTTTAATATACAATGAAGAAGAATGTAATGACTGCCACATGCCTGCACTTAAACTTCCCAGTTGGTAGCCTTAGTTACATCTGCCTGTGCAGTCACACCCTTTCTTCTCCCCCTTCACATAGTTGCTTGTTTTCTGCTCAGCCATTTGACTTTAAATTGCAGACATCCTAGCACACCCCTAAATCCCTCACCCTCTGTCACCTGAGAACAGGACATTCTCCTACACACCTACAGCCCTATTATTACACCCAGCACAATTTTCAGACAGAGACCACGATCTTACCTAATATCATGCCCATATTCAGATTTCCCAGCATGTCCCAGCATGCCAGCTGAGCACCTGCTGAGGACATTGCCCTGCTCGTAGCTGTGGTGTCCCTTAAGTCTTTTGACCTAGCAAAGGCCCCCCCCCCCCCCCATTTTGGTCTTTAGTAACACTGGTACTTTGAAGTGTTAGGGCCCCTCCCTTTGCATTGTTTCAATCCTCTCCTTGTGACTAGATTCCCTTCCCATGTAGAGGGTGCTCTTGCCTTCCCTGGACACCCGTGCCCACTGCCTTGCTTCCTCATTTGGCCACATACAAGAGGGCGTGCCCTTGCCTCTGCACATTTCACTTGTCGGCCTGTCACACATCCACAGAGGCACTCTGAAGGTTAAGTGAGAGCATATGAGATGACCATCGACATCATCTTACCAGTCACTTCATATGTCACTTCTGAATGGGCAGGTGGCTGGGGGTGTGGAGGCAGCAGAAGGTTGGGGATGATGGGCAGTCACTGACTGCTCTGCACATCTGGTCTGTGTTTGGTCATCTCCCCTCTCCTAAAACAGGCAACAATGTGTAATAGGCTCTGAATGGAACAAGCATCTGATTCCCTACCCTGTCCTCTCCACAGTCTGAGGACTTCTTTGTAAACCCTGCCCAGCTTCTGCTTTGAATGGTCTGTTCAGAGGGACTGTTGCACCGAAGCTCCCTTGAGTCTCTACTTTCTCTTCTGCACCTTCTCTCTGCTCTAAACCTAAAATGTTTATGCTCATGGCAGTGTGTGGGTACCAGCTTCTTTGTTAATGATTCATGACCGCTCCTCCATGCCTGCCACATCTGAACCACTCAGCCAGAGCCTCTCAGCCAGTCTCTGATTACATACGAATCATCCTCTCGTTGGCTCCATGCCCTTGGGTAGCTTCCTGTCACCCCCGGGTTATCACCTGGCCCCCTGACCCAACGGCCTCTGCATTTGGACCTCAGCTCATCTCCATGCTGGGCGCCCCTCCAGCTTGGCTGCTCTTTCCTGATGGTAATGCCTGGTCCTCTGTCTCAGCCCAGTTACACGTCACACTTGCACGTTTAAACACACACATATACCCTGGTGTGGCTTCTCCCTCTCATCCCCCACCCACTGATACAATTGGTGGGACGCTGTTGTGTCATTTTGTGAATCTTTTTGAAGGACATGCTTCCATATGCAGCCTTCTGCAGAGTGCCCTGTATATGGCAACCTCTCATAGCTGCTTATGGTAATGCTTTCTGGGCTGTTCAGTGAGTGAGTGTTCAGGAGGTCAGAACATGCTTTTTAATTCCTTTTTCTAACTGAGATAATCCAGGCATATGCAAATCTTGAAATAGTAGACTTTGAGCCCCTGCTATATTCCTGGAACTTTGACACATATTACCTTGTGTAAAGCATCGTAACAGCTTCATGAGATGGCATTGTGCTTGTCTGGAAAATGGACTGAGGACAATCCATTCTGATGAAAAACTAATGACTTCAAGCCTTGTTAGCTGTTAAGTGACAAGGTTCCATGCTGCCTCCAGTCCTGATTTTTACACCCACGCTATTCCATCTGCCACAGCACCAGTGTTGGGACAGGGTGAAGTGGGGTCACTATGGTTGCCTGTAGTACTCACCAGTTTGCTTCTCTTTGAAGGGCAGTTTTTGAACCATGCCCCATTTGGTGACTCAGATCCTAAAGTTGGAGTGGTGCCAGCCTTCTGTCTTACCTGTCTCACCTGTCAGACACAGGAAGATGGGCCTTTCCTCCCCTTTACCTATGAACTCCTTTGATCTTAGCTCAAATGTTCTCTAAACTCCACAACAGGCTAGGCCACCATGTCACACATTCTCAGCACTCCAGGCCTTCCCTTCATCCGGCATCACAACTGCCTTTGCACTTGTGTGTGCTTGTTTCATTTATGCCCATCTGAAGGCAGGTCTGTGTATGACCTCTTTTTTAATGAGCAAGTCTATAAGTTCGCCCTTTCCGGGCCGTGCCTTCTCTCCTGAACATCCATTTCATCTGGTACTGTTTCTCTTCAGCCTACAGAACTTTTTTTAAATTTTATTTTATTTATTTTTTACAGAGAGGAAGGGAGAGAGATAAGAGAGCTAGAAATGTCGATGAGAGAGAAACATCGACCAGCTGCCTCCTGCACACCCCCTACCGGGAATGTGCCCGCAACCAACGTACATGCCCCTGACCGGAATCGAACCTGGGACCTTTCAGTTCGCAGAGGGACACTCTACCACTGAGCCAAACTGGTTTCGGCATACAGAACTTTATTTAATCTTCTTTGTGTAATTATGTTGGCCATGAATTCTTATTTATTTATCTGAAGTCTTTATTCTTAAGATACTTTTGCTGGGTGTAGAATTCTCATTGAAAGTTTTTTTTAAAAAAAAAATATATATTTTTTTTATTGATTTCATAGGGGAAGGGAGAGGAAGAAAAAGATAGAAACATCAGTGAAGAGAAAGAATTACTGATCGGCACCCGCGCGCGCGCGCGCACACACACACACACACACACACACACACACACACACACTGGGGGATTGGAGCCTGCAATCCAGGCATTTGCCCTTCAAACCCTGGACCCTTCAGTCTGCAGGCCAATGCTCTATCCACTGAGCCAAACCAGTTAGGGCTGAAAGGTTTTTTTCTTTCATCTCTTTAAAGATGTTCCACTGTCTCTGGCTTGTACTCTTTCTGGTGAGAGGTCACATCTATGTCCTGGTTCCTCTTGAAGAGATGTTCTTTCTCTGGCTGCTTTTAAGGTTTTGTCCTTGTCTTTGGTTTTCAGTCCGGCTGTGTGTTTGTACTACCCCTTCCCTGCCAATATATATATATATATATATATATATATATATATATATATATAAAATCATTCAGAGACTTTACAGTGAGCATCCAAACATTCACCACCTAGATTATCCCATTACCTGGTTTCTTGACTTGCTTTCTCGCATGTCCTGAGGACAATACTAAGTACCCGAGGGCAGGGGGAATGTGCAGTCTCTGGGCTGATCATCCAGCAGACCCTGTGACCTAGGGCTTAAGCTGACTAAGGCAGGCCCGCAGGACAAATGTGCGCAGGGCGCAGTGGTTACTAGAGGAAGGAGTCTAAACTCGCAGTTGAGGACGAGTGGAGGTTCAGCATAGCCCAGGGGTCTGAGAGAGCTTTTTGGGATGAGTGATCATCTGTGCAGAGTCACATAGTAGTCCCCTGAGAAAGTCTGGGTGTGTGGAGAGCACATGCAGATGATGCCTTGTTTTGACTTGGCGGGAGGGGCTGCAGCTAACAGGGGTTTTATTTGGAAAACCTTAGATATTCTGTTTGGATTCTACAAGGAAGATAATTATATCTTTACTAGTTTTATTCCTAACTGCCCCAAAGTCATGTTATTTCTTTTTCTGTTTAAAGGTATGGATGACAAGAATGCCACAAAGTTGAATGAGCTCATTCAGGTTGGGTAAGTACAAATTACATTATGAGACACCACCTGCTCATGTTGGGCATTTGCATTGTTCTCTGAAGTACAGAACTAGAAATATTCACCTGTCCCTCCCACTCACCCCACCAGAGCTTCTGCGCTTTCACCCGGACCACTCCGTTCCTTGTCTTAGGTCAACTCCCCTACCACCCAAAAACTCCGCTGGTCAAAGTTCAGCTGTCCTGTAGGTCGCACTATCTCCTAGAACAGTCTTCCCTGGCCTCTGCTATATCCGCAGAGCACTGTCTTCCTGTACTTCTGATTCTTGTCTCCCCCAGCCCGGGGTTGGATGACCTGTGAGCCCTGTTTCTCAGGTGTGAGCTCCTGCTAGATGGGGCTCGCTCTATGTGCTTCTGCTCTGGCTTTAGTCCAGCATGGATGCTTTTACAGATGTTCGTGTTGCATTCTTAAGGCTTTATTTCTATGAACTGCTACCCTTTTGCAGCCAGTCATGATAGTAACTAGGATGTACATACCACCACATGTGAAAGAACAGACTCACTTCAACTGCCAGGAGTGTAGGTAGTCTTAACTACTGGTGGTGTTGGGCAACAGGAGCCGTGGAGGGTATCGTCAGGCAAGTAAAAAGAGGCCACCTGCCATGGGCTTGTGGATCATTTGTCACCTCCCCACCCCATTTACCTGTTGCTTCAGCATCCCATATTCCTTCCCACCCTTACACCTGCCCTGCATTTGTCTGGTGGAAGCTGTGTTTGCTCCAAGATTTGGACTATCTGAATGGTACTCTGTGCATCTGAGGAACCTTGTTAAGTAGGGGAAATATTCTTGGCTGCAATGGTTTCTGATATTACTGACTCTAGTAGGTGAAGGAGCATGCTTCCTCTATGGTGCAGTCTTTTGGGGCAAATTTACTTCACCTTTTATTTCAGTTGTCTCAGATTCGTTGGGTGAGCAGGTATTCCTAGCTCTTTGCTTTGGAGCTAGTTTGATAGAAAAGCAGTGAGTTTGCTTGGCTTTGTCTTAGTTTTTCTTTTTTGTGATAGCACAGAGAGAAGAGTGTCCTACATGAGAGTGAGAGGAAGGAATGTTTTTGATAAGTTTGAAAATGGCCAGAGAGTTGTTTTGGGGGGCTGCTGGAGGTTAGGGAACACCAAAGCACCAAGCTGAAAGTCTGAAGGTACCAATAAACCTAGGAGCAGAGTTGAGACTTCTCAGGCTCGGCAAACAGATGTCTCAGTGAAATCCCAGGTGAGATGATGGGAAGGATGTTTCCAAATCATCAGGGTTTCAGGAGTGTCTACATCATTGTATGTGTTTTGACTCCTTACTTAGTAATATAGTATTGAGTTACAATTTACAGGAAACATAGATTTCCATCAGCTTATACTGATAGAATCGATGATTGCATGAATGAATGAATGAATGAATGAAGGACAAGATGCAAATTTTCCATGCAGAATTCTACTTAATTTATGTAGATACTCTTCCCTCAAGGAGGGGAGCATAGCTCCCTTCCTTTAAGTGTGAGCTGTTTGAAGTGACTTCTTTCTTGACTCCACAGACCAATACTCTATCCACTGAGCCAAACGAACTAGGGCTGCGAAGTGACTTCTTTCTAAAGATGATAGTATAAGAAGGGGATGGGGAGGAGCATAGAATGGCGACACCTGACAGAGACAACCTCAGTCAGATCAAGGTCTACGCCAACTGTGATAATCCAGGTTGATGGCATGGAGAGACATGGTTCTATAAATAGGTCTGCTCCCCCTAAATTAATCCACAAATGCATGCAGTTGCAATCAGAATCACAGTACAGTTTCTTTTAATATTAAATTGAAATATGAAGATATTTCTGCGGGAAAATGTATAAACCTTAAGTGCATAACTTTTGGATTTTCACAAAGTGGTCTGACCCAAATCAAGAAACAGTAAATGTTCTTCTCAAACAAAACATTCTTCTCAAAAACCTCCCTTGTGCCATTTGTACTCCACTTGGCTCAAAGTAAGAAGAAAGGAAATTGAAATGGTATCATGCTTCACGACTGCACGGAGAGGTCTGTTTGCAAACAGCAGTGACAGACCGTGAGTTTGTAACATGTCCCACTCATAAGTATGTAAACCCTCTGGCTGTGGTCGCACTTCTAGGAAATAATTAGGTCAGGGTGAGGATGTATCTCACAACAGTGCTCATGTTAGCAAAGGGGTATCAAGAGTAAAGAGCTGCCCCAACTGGTTTGGTCCAGTGGATTGAGCATCGGCCTGCAGACAGAAAGGTCCCAGGTTCGATTCCTGTCGAAGGCATGTACCTTGGTTGTGGGCATATACCTAATAAGGGGTGTACAGGAGGCCGCTGATCGATATTTCTCTCTCATCGATGTTTTTAACTATCCCTCTCCCTTCCTCTCTGAAAAAAACAAAACAAAAAACAAAACCAATAAAATATATATAAAAGAGTGAAGAGCTGCTTCAGTGTCAGGCAGGATTGTTTTCAGAAGCAAGGCCGAGCCAGTGCCTGTGTGACTGCGTGGCTGAAACAGGTCTTTTGGACAAATAACCCCCACCACCACCACCACCTTATACCAGGGTTCTCTTGGGGTAGTGGGTACATGGTTACCCCCACTTTCTACTTCCTACTTTTAAAAAGAAAAACATTTAATAAGAATGTACTTTTATCAGGAAGAAAAAAATTCCATATTGGGAAAGATATTCTTTTATTAGTTTTAAATTACTATGATCAAGTTTTCTCTGTGGGGATATATTTATAAAAATAACATTTATCTGTATTTCTGGCAACAAAAATGTAACATGTGGCTTAAGGTTTGATTGGGCCCTGTTGTGTATGGATGCTGTTGGCAAAACCCTGTAGGGGCCTTTGGAAGGTTGTGTGAGGGGAACCTGTCCTTCAGTGAGGTTTGGAGACCACAGGTGTCAAACACCATCAGGATCTGGCTCCAGCAGAGCCCAGAGGCTCTGGACTGAAGGAGAGTCCAACAGAAGGCCTGGCACCCTCTGCGTCTCTCCTTTTTCTTTTCCTAGGCCCCATGACAGCACCTGATGTCTAGGGCTCAGGAGTACTGCTGAGGGACTGGGCTTTCCTTCTGACCGTTGCTGCCCTTCCCCTGGGTCACAAGCTCCTACTTACCCTTTACTACAAGCTCCGACGCCACCCTCACTTGAAATAGCAAAGTCTGCATGTCACATATCCTTCCTTTGTGACTCGTCAGCACAGTGCTCCTACCACTGCTGTTGGTGCTTACCTCTCAGTATCCTCACCAGCCTGTAGCTCAGAAAGGGTCTCCACTTCAGCCTGATATGTTGGGGGAGACCCCAGGCCTTGCTCAGTCTGAGTCCCCAGACCCTCTGACAGTCCTGGGCAAGAAGGACATTGATGCTAGTTGCTGCCAGCTGTTTTCTCCATTGAGATAAAGGAGCACTAAGAAGCAAGACAATTGTTTTGTTACTCTTTTAGAAAATCCTATAATAAAGAGGTAATATGCAAATTGACCATCATTCCAACATACAAGATGGTCGCCTGCATGTGGATACAAGATGGCTGGCAGGGGAGGGCAGTTAGGGGCTACCAGGCCAGCAGGGGAGGGGTGTTGGGAGTGACCACGCCTGCAGCGGAGGATAGTTAGGGGTGACCAGGCCAGCAAGGGCAGTTAGGGGTTACCAGACCAGCAGGGGAGGGCAGTTAGGGGGTGATCAGGCTTGCAGGCAGAAGCAGTTGGGAGCCAGCAGTCCTGGATTGTGAGAGGGATGTTCCAGATTGCAGAGGGTGCAGGCTGGTCTGAGGGACATCTCCCCCTTCCATGCACAAATTTCGTGCACTGGGCCTCTAGTGTTGTCATAAAAAAAAGTTTAAATATTAAAGAAATTGATAGGATAGTACAACAGCCACCTGCATACCCTTCACTTGAATTTACCAGTAGACGTCAAGAGAATTAGATGCTCTTTTACATAGAGGCTAGTGTCAAGGTAGCTTGGGTAGTCCTCATTCCTACGTAGTGAAAAAGTAAACAAGAATTTCAGCCAATGGTGGACAAGTGCCGCCTCTGAGATACACTGCTGAGTGATCCAGCTCAGGAACCCATAATGGGCGCCTCCAGCTCTTAAGGGTCTCACCTGCTTACCTGACTACTCTGGGCTTAGGTGCCCTACCTGTTACATTGTCATCTCTCGGAGAGGTGCTTTGAGACACCCACGAAAGGGTTTGGAACAACATAAGATGGTGTGCCAGCTCAGTGAAAAGTTATCTATCTGAAGCCATAGGGAGATCCGAGGCAGAAAGCCTCCTGCCTGGCATGTTCATCATAAGTTCTAGAAGGATTTAAGTACCTTAAAACACGTGCTAGGCACAAATATGGGTGCTGGTTATGCAGTGGTGGTAGAGCTGGGGCAGGGCAGCTAATGAAGCTCACTGAATCATTTTGTTCGAGTGTGGGGTGGGGTTGGGGGAATCTGTGAACAGGGATGTGAAGAGGTGATGTTGGGCCAGGTACCTCTGCAGGCTGAATAGGAATTTGGGGATCCGGGTAGTCTTGGCAAAAGTCTCAGAGGAGCAGATCCCCCAATTCTGGATGAAAGCATTCCTCTAGTTCTATATATATAGGAGCAAGGCAGGGTACATAGCATCCATTTTTTAAACAAATTTTATTTTTAGTCATTTTAGGTTTACAGGAAAAGTGAGTAAAGAATTTTCCTATATACCCCCTTTCTCTACACATGTTCTCCTCATTATGAGCATCTGATATTAAATGGTACATTTGTTAGAATTGATAAGCCAGTATAGATGCATTATTAGCTAAAATCTTTCAGTTGATGGTTGTTAGCAGCATTCAGTGCCAACCAGGAATCCCCAATTTGGGGTGTGGTAAAAAAGGAAACTAGAGGCGGAAACCAGTAGAGCGTAGGCCTGTGGACTGGAAGGTGCCGAGTTTGATTCCGGTCAAGGGCATGTACATTGGTTGTGGGCACATCCCCAGTGCGAGGTGTGCAGGAGGCAGCTAATCGATGAT